ATTCAATCAAGTTTTTATATTTTTATTTTGAATCAAATAAGTTATTAATTGTTAATTAATTATTATTAATTAAATAACACTTATCATTTTATATCTGTATGACATTGACATAGCGTTGACATAAAATGTGAAAAATGTGATTTGATCATATTATTGTAACACATTATTATTAATTAAAATATATCAATATGTCACATCATCATCAATTATGACATATTAAAATGTCATATCAACGTCGAGTGACATAAGAACTTATAACTAAGTTAATTATTAGTTATAAGAGTTTATTTGATTCAAAATAAAAATATAAAAAATATATTTGACTCAAAATAAAAATACAAAAACTTAATTTAAAGCAATAAAAGTGTAAAGACTTATTTAATTTTTTTAAAATATTTTATAAATTTTATTAAATATTATGCTAAGTACATATTCAAATAAGACAAAAAAGGATAAAAGGATGGATAGAGATCATTTCTAGTTTTTCTTAAAAAAATATATAATAAGACTTTACGTTTTTATAACAAAATATAATTTAAAGCAAAACTTGTTAGAGGGTTAGGAAAAAAAGAAAGAACGAGAACAGAATGAAAGACGAAAAGAAGAAAACAGGGAAAGAAAAGAGAAAAAAAAAGGAAAAAAAAAAGAGGAAAAAAAAAGGCAAAAAAGAAAAAGGAGAGGAAATGAGAAGGGAAAAGAAAAGAAAAAGAAAGCGAAAAAATCTCAAAAAAAATATAATAAGACTACAGTTTTATAAGAAAAAAAGAAGAGAAACTTAGGAGAGAGGAGGCATTTAAGATTTAATATAATGAGGTTTGGATTCAAGATCATTTTGATTTTATCTCAATAATAACTTGAGGAGAATAAACTCATTATTAAGTTCGTTAATGAGACCTTGTCTTAGTGGTAACAAGAAAGCTTTTGAACTTTGAGCTCTCTGTTATCTTTATGTTGGATTTGTCGAGGTATATGTTGATTTTGTTGATTGATTTGTATGTTTAATGATTTTTTATATGAAATATAATACTTGATTATGATTATAATTATTACTTTGTACATGCAATTACCTTAAAAGAAAAACTCGTTATTAAATTCATCTTTTCGGAGATAAATATTTTAAATTCAAATTAATCCTTAAATTAATTATTAGTTACACTTTTATCAAATATGAAATTCTATGTCATAATTTACACATGGTCAAGATATTATTATTAATATCATATTAAATATTCAAATCCACATAATACAAACTTATTGACATTATTGATTTTATTTAATTTACAATTTTTAGTTAAAACATAAATTATTAATTCAAAGGTCCCATATTTGGCTTTTAAAGAAAAAAGAGTATAGATTTTTTTATATAAAAAAATTTTAATGACTTTTGATGTATATAAAAATAATTTATTTAAATTCTTTTATGGACTAAGAGAATTAATAAATGGATGATAAAATCAAACCTAACTTGCAATAGAAGTTTTGTGCTAATTAAATCACATTCCATGCATGTATGGATAAAACTATGCATTCCCAACCACCAAGGGCACAACTCTCACATGCTTGCCCATCATGATATTGCTCATGATTGTGTTAAATAAATATACTAATTTGTCAAAAGCATATGTTTTGAAATTAAATACATATCATTTTCTTAGCAACTAAAGAGTTTTACATGTTGAAACAAAACTTAATTGTCAAATTTTTGTGATAGTTTATTTTTAGAGTTAAGATATTGGAGAAAATTTAAATTCATTGTTATCCAAAAGTTTTAAGAATAATTTTAACATTAATCCTAAAACTTATTTGCAAGATCAAAGAAGCGAATAAGTAGTCAATATGATAGTAAAACTCAATTGAAAATTATAAAATAGAGTACAAGATAGAGAAAAGATTACAAAGGAATATAGTTCATATATGTTAGTAACATGTGTGCATATGATTGAATCTATTACATACTTAAAAGGAAGTCTAAAAAGGGCTTCCTCATTTAGCCACATGTCAGCTAAATCATTGCCCACATTTTTAGTCTCCCAACCCATGAGTTAACCAAACTTTGCAAAAGAGTCAGTTAAGCCACAGTTAACCATAAGTCAAATTGAAATCTCTTTTGCCCATGAGTCAATCAAGACACATTTTCAAGTTAGGAGTTTTAAACCTTTGTCAGTCACGACCAAGCTTGAACAAAGGGGTTTGAAACTTTTGAAAGAAAACCCAAATTGCATACGTTTGTAAGTAAATCCTTAGATAATTAGTGTGGAGGGTCGATTATGACCTATTGGTGTTTCTTTATCCATTCCGATCCCATATTCTTTTACTCCTTGGCTTAGCTTAAATCTACTTGATTATTTTCATCTTTTTAGCTTCCCTCATTGACTTCCCTTCGGGTTTAAGTTATATTTTATTCTCGCTCTCAAGTCAGCTTGGTGTACAAATCCTCTGGATTTGAGCTCTAGGTTTTGGTATTTTTTTCTATTATTAAAAAATTCAAGCAACCATAAGATCAATAGAGTCTAGCAACAAATTTTTTACCATAAATATTTTTTTTATGAATTCTTACAGTATGGTGTATTGATCCTCTAAATGTGAGTTTTAGGGTGTAATATTTTTTTCCACCATTAAAATATTCAAGCAATCAGTAGATTAATAAAGTCGAGTAATAAATTTTAATAAATTTTCTATTTGATAATTAAGACAAGCATCCTGTGTAAATTTATGTCCATGCAAGTTGTGTTATCTTCCAATGAACAGCATGAACAGTGATAGGTCACGATTTGTAGAGATTGGAAGGAAGAAAATATATGATCTGAAGAGAGAATTGAAAATTAGAATAAAGAGAAAAGAAATGATCCATTTGGAAAAGGGAATTGAAAATTAGAAAATATAAAAAGACTATTAAAGAAAAAGGATAGAATTCCAAAGCCCAATATATAGGAAATTAAAGACACAGGAAATAGCAAAGCTATTCCTTCTCTATTCTCAGTTATTATTTAATATTTTTAAATATTAATGATTAAATTATAATAAAATTTTAAATGATAATTTAAAAATATAATTAATAAATTTGACTATTTTTATCGATTAAAAAATTTTTCAACAACATACTTTTATATATACTAGAGTATATTCGTGCGATGCATCTGGGTGATATAAGTAAAATAATGTTTGTTCAAATATATCTACATGTCAATATTTATATGGTACTCAACTGAGTATGAAGCTATTTGTTAATTGCAATATGTATAGAAAATATTAAAAATTTCATTATTGTTTAAGTGGTAATTTTATTTTAATAATTGTGAATCTATGCTGTAGTATTAGAACACATAAAATACATTAAATGACTTTACTTAGTGATTTCAACGACTCTAACATTTAGTATTTCTGGAACTTCTTTTTTCAATAATGACAATAAGCGTTTCATCCTCCATAAAAATGTGAAGGAATAATAAAAAGAAAAAGAGAGAGAAAAACTAAAAAGAAAGAAAAATTTAGAATCTTACTTGAAAAATTTCTGATTTTTGTATGAAAATAATAATATTATTAAAATCTAAATAATAAAAGTTTGAATAAACAAACCAAATGAGATAAAAGGAAAAGAAACTAAATACCTACCTTAAAGTTTCTGATTTTTGTATGAAAGCGTTAACATTATAAAAAAACACAATAAAAACTGAATAAATAGAAAATCATGGAATTAATTATTCAATTAATTATTTTATTTTTATTTTTATCACTTTTTAAACAAATTTCATAAATCTGAATTAATATAAAATAAATAATTTAAAAGGTAAAAGAATGGGCAAAAACACAAAAACTATAAAAAAAAATCTTGACTTTTTCAAAAATGACAAATATGTTCCAAGGGTTCAATTGACTATCTCACGTGGCTAGCAATTAGCCCTTTGCTAATGCTTATTTGGAATGCTTATTTGCAAGATTATGGGAGGAAATTGTAACAATGATAGTAAAACTCAATTGAAAATTATAAGAAACATATAAGACAGAAAAAAAAAATTATAGAAGGATGTGATGTGTAAGTGATTGCATTAGATTAAGGGAAATTTTGTTAGTGGTCGAATTAAGGTTTTTCAATTCTATTGTTGCATTTTTTTTTATAGTTATTTTTTTAAAAAAAAATGTAAATGATAAAAAATATTGAAATGTCAGTCGGCTTCATTTCTTTGAATTTTTTTTGAATAAAAATAAAAGAGAAATAATAGAGATATTAAGGGATTTTTTTGTTTTTGGGTAGGTTCTACGGGTGGTAGTATTTTGGAAGCAATCTCAACAAATAATGGGTTGCTTTCTTTATAGGAGTATTTTTACAAAATGTCCAAAATCGATTATTATATAAACAAAGTATATTCATAAAATACACTTAATAATATGGTTTATCTATTCTAAATAATAAAAATTAAATATACTTCATAAAATCTTATTCTACAATTGTTTGAACTCAATTATTCTTCAAACCAAATTCCTCCAAAGTTTTTCTTTATTCTTTTTTCATCATCAACTTGGTGGAAAGGATGCAAATTCGTCAATGGCGATAGTAACTCATATCCTTGGTTTATCAAGATATATTATGAACTTTTTTTATATTTTTTTATTTTTTTTTTAAAAAATTATTTTTGGAGATGTTAATCTAGATTTTTTGATTAAATTATTTAAAAAAAGGAAAATAGTATTGGGTTATCTGCCAAAAAGTCCCACAATGGCCCTAAATGATATGAGTCCCAAACCCAAACCCACCACATGCATGGGGCCGTGTCGAGCATTTTCCACATAGTAACAGGCCGGGTAGTATCACGGATACCCTGCCCAATTTGAACTTCAGGGCTAAACAACCCGATTCCAAACCGATACCCGAAATCTGATCCATGACCCAAAATAACCCGAACCCAAGCAAAAATTGCTTGACAGTGGGCAGCAAGCGAAACGTCTCTCCCTCCCGCATAAACCCTCTTTTCTCTGTAAGTAAATAACCCAATCAGCTTAGTATCAATTTTTATTTTTTTTTCTAATTTATGAGATTAATTTAAATTTTATTAAATTGTTTGCAGCATTTTGAAAAGTGAATTTTGGTAATAGAAAGATGCCAGACACCCAAGCTCTCGTCAATGATTTTCTTAACAAGCTCAAAAAACGGTGAAGTTTTATTTTTTGCATTCAATTTAATTTTAGAAAAACAAAAGTTAGATTCTTTTAGGGTTTTTTCAGTGATTATGGACTGTTTTCTTTTTTTTTTTTTGGGCAGTAGATGGGAGGTCCAGGCAACAGCAAAGCAGACGCGGAACTGCTTCGGTCTGTGATTTCTCAGACACGATGCCTTATACGAACCAGGCTGGAGCTTGATTGATTCCGTCAAGGCCGTTGGAGAACGGTTAATTGCTGCAAATCCTGTCGGTATGAAGTTTTTTTCTTAATTCTTTTTTGGGTTAATTTGTTTCGCTGATTATGTTCGATAATTTGTTAGCATTCGGTATCAGTTTGATGATCATGCCATGTTACTGATGCAGAAATTGTTAGCAGACATCGATACAATACAGTTTTGAACTCTCACTAATGTTATGAGTATGCACAAAGTTGCTATTTTTTCAAGGAGTGCATCTATCTGTGTTCATTTCTATCTATGGATTTTACTTGTCTAATGATAAATAGGTTAGTGTTGTTTATGCTTGAACTAGAACACAGATAGATGTTTCCTTTGCAATGTCTTGCATTTTACGGGTTCATTTGGTCCTGCTGGAGTTGCATGAATAAGTGCCGCTAGAGTAGAGGTTTTTGGAAAGCGTTTAATCAAATTGAAATTATTTGTAATAACTAAGAATAGATTTTCTTTGTTTAAAATTTTATTCAGACTTTTTATCGGCTTCTCTTTGCAATCTTATTCAGATGTTATATTTTGGTTTTCAAGCGTCATGCAATAGGGATTGTAGATACTTGTCCATTGGTATTCTATGTTAATAGTGTATGGATGTGATGGCAGAGCTTGCGGTGGGTAATATTGTCAGGCGTGTTTTGCACATTATCAGAGAGGAGGATCTTTCTCTGACAACAGCTGCCATGGCTGGATTGAACTTATCAGCCGTAAGTGATGATGAAGATGATGCTGATCGAGATGACCGCCCAGTACTATCAGCCGCTGCTGTTGCTGCTGCCTCTTAGAAGCACCTTGCGTCCACCTTCCCTGCAGACACTACTTGAGGATGTGCCTGATTCTGCAGCAGTTCCTCATACTTCTTCTTCTGGTGGAGATTCTGAAGGAAAAAGCAAATGTGAACTCTTTACTTCAGACACTTCTTGTATCTGCAATTTGCTTGATGAATAAATGGATCTTGATTTTGCCATTGATTTCTCTGAGATTAATGTTTCTGGATTTGGTTAAATATTAGTTAATAAAAACCGGGCATCTTGCAGTGATAATCATGTAATGTTAAATCTTGTAGCTTCATAAATTATGTATGAGCATTGATATTTAAGAGCTTTATTTTCCTCCATGCTGCTGACAAAAGTTCAAGAAGCCGGAAGCTGAAGCATGATGTCATTGAAGCAGTCAATGAGCTTATTCAAGACATTAATACTTGCCATGAACAGATTGCTGAGCAAGCAGTAGAGCATATACATCAGAAGTATATTTTTTTGCCTTAAACTTTTTCATTCTTTTTGGTTTTCAACCTTTATAAAACTTGCTTATTCCTCGTTTAGTTTTTGACCAAACAACGAATCACATTTGATAGTCTGAGGTTTCTTGGATTTGCTTTCAATCTTATGCTCGCCTCGACCCCCCCCCCCCCCCCCCTTTCTTTCTAGGCATTGGTTTTCTCATTCCCTAACATCCATATCTAGGGGGGGGCATCGGGTGGCTTGGTTGGCCTCAGTAGTGGAGGAGGCCACAACCGATCAAGCCGACCAGGGTGGTGGAACCAACCGAGCCAAAGGAGAAGCTGATCAAATCATGACTGACCATGGTCAGTCGGTTAAGCAGTCGGTTCTAACGCTTGCTAAAGCAAATTTGGCATACAAATATGGTGGTGATGGACTTCCTGTCAAAGCTTTCAGTTGAATCCCTGGCATGTTTTAGTTGTGTTTGTAAAGCCTTGGTCTTCTTGTTTCTAGACCTTTGATTTCATTACTAAACAGCAAACATCACCAAACAATCTCAAAAACAGCAACCGTAAATCTCCTTCTCAAATGTTGTCATAGCATCACCCTTGAGGGCATTCGTTATTTCTCAACACTTTCTACCGAAAAAGGGGAAAACCTTTTATTAGCAGAGAACATTCACAGTTCACTTAACCTTTTTTAAGAATTGTTGGTATGCCTTGTGCTTTCATGTCCTTGTAATGGATTTCATGGAAGAAGCTCAGCTGAAACCCTTGTGAGCATCGTGAGTAGTTCTCAAAGCAAAGAGTGAAGGGATGATCAGAAAGAGGATGTTAAAGAAAGGTTAGAGCTTAGCCTTTCACTTTATAGTGGTCGGTTTTTTGGTTGGTGTAGGGGTGAAGGATTCCCTACCGATGGCCAAACCGATTAACTGCCCAAACCGCTACGATCAACCGGCTCTTCAACCAGAGCCGATTGACCAAACCTTTTTCAACCGAAACCACAGGAAACTGTTAGTTGACCGCCCAAATGCTCAGCCTATCGTATCTGTGCTTGTTGTTTCTAGTAGGTTATATTATTTCATGTTCTATAACCTTTTGAGTTTAATGATTATCTTTGTCCTGTTGTTTCATTATGTATGATCTGTTGAAATTTATATGGTTATATCTGGCCTGAGATCTTAAAGTTAATATTTTGAGTTTCAGGGATGATTTTTCTTTAGACGCACAAATTAAACTGAAACTATTAGTGCCGTTTGGATGTCACCCTAGTTTTATTTCTGAAGATCATTTTTATTTGTTGCAGAAAATAGCTTCTGATGGTTCTTAAGATTCTTGATTGTCTAATGTTTCATTTGTTTGATAAAAGGTTTCTGTGTAGTTATGATTAAGAACATGTAAAAAATTTATTGATTACAGATTTTCTACAAATCTTCAGATACTTTCCTGGATAAATCTTGTTAATCTTCTAATTGACAACAGTTTCAATTCAGTTATCCAGGATTTAGTGTGATGCATGCATTCGGTTTGTGATGTCTCTGCCCAAATGATATTTGATGTATATCTCCCATTAAACCTCTTTTGCTTTTGGTATGCCCATGCTCATAAAGCACCTGGACAAATTTATGTTGAGGATTCTTCATCTGTCTTAAGAATATGAAACACATTTGCCTCTATGTGTTATCACGTTGCATTCTACCTATCATTTTTGCACTTTTTTTTTTGAAAACCCATTGTTGTACTTATTTAACTTGCCTGGTTACTGATTATAGCTAAAACATATTGTCAGTGAGGTAATATTAACCTTAGGCAGTTCAAGAACCGTGCTGGAATTTCTTTGTGCTGCAAAAGAGAAGAAAAGATCATTTCGGGTATTTGTTGCGGAGGGTGCTCCAAGGTTCGTTCATGTGGCTAACATGTTTTACAAGCAAAGACGTGTCATTTAAGCTGCTGCAATTTTGATGTTCACCCTGTAACAGTTTTCGTTTTACATTACCTGGTGTTAACTTAGGTATCAAGGGCATCTTCTTGCAAAAGAGTTGGTCTCAAGAGGTTTACAGACCACACTGATTACTGACTCTGCAGTTTTTGCCATGATTTCTCGAGTAAACATGGTATGTGATGTGTTAATGTTTTCCTACATGGTAATGAGTTTCTTGCTGTCATCTGAGATTTGAAATATGAAGGTTATTGTTGGAGCTCATGCTGTCATGGCTAATGGTGGAGTCATAGCACCTGTTGGGTTGAACATGGTTGCACTTGCTGCTCAAAAGCATGCTGTCCCATTTGTTGTACTCGCTGGCAGTCACAAGGTATTTTGGCACAATAACAGCTTGACCAGCAAAATTTCTAGAAGTTTTAGTGGAATAATAAGTGAAAACACCTTCTTTTTTTTTCCATTTCAAAACATTTTAAATCATTTAGTTATGCCTCCATGATGGTGTGAGTTTGTGTTTTTGTGTGGTTCTTTTTTTTCTTTTCTGATTTAGATGAATTCAATTTGTTAGCTTGAGGTATCATGAACATGAATAATGGGATAGAAGTCGTGAGGGCTCTAAGAGGAGCTATTGGTGCATAGGATTTAAGTTGATGTGGCAAGATAGTACATAGGATAAATGTGTACAAAAGTGCTTGATGGTGCAAAAGATGGGGTTGAGCACCAAGTGTGATGTAGAAGTATTAAGTACCTAGTAAAGGGAGGTGAGGAGTGGAATAAAAGCATACGGAGGTGAACATTTCAAAAGAATATACCCCACATTAGACACTGAAATTGAAGTCTGAGCCATAGTACTTTTGTTTTTATAAAGGGATAATGTCCTATTTAGCCCCTATTCTTTAGGAAAATGTCTAATGTGGTAATTTTACTAAAAGATTTTCAATGTGGTACTAAACTTTAATTTCATGTATCGGTCTACCCCAATCCATAACACCCTTAACGGAATCTATTGATGTGGCTTCTAACCAATCAAAATGTGTAGGAAAGTGCCATGTTACTTGATGGGATCATGTCAACTTGAACAAGTGGATTCAAATGGCACCACGTGGCTGCCACATGTCATAATTTTTTTTAAAAAAAAGAAAAACTAATTTTTTTTCAAAAGTGAAAAACAAAAAATTTATTAAAAAATATTTTTTTCTTTTTTTAGTAGGTCATATCTTGTGCTTATGTCTCCTTTGAAGCAGTTTAGAAAAATGAAAGTGTAGAGTCCTATACTTCTTATAAGAAGGGTTTCTTTTTTTTTTTTTCCCAGCTATTAATTACCTCTTGTAAGCCACCCAGGTGCTGGCCAGAGTGATTTGAAGCTGGTGCTTGTTTTCTTGCATATTAGCAAGGCAATAAATCTAATGTGCTGCATCTGACGTGTTGATTTGCATGTCAGACAATTCATTAGCAAGCCAGGATCACGTATCTGCTCTTAAGCTTCTCATGGGGTATTATTACATCCCTACTTTAAATCTAGACATATAATGAGGGTAAACTTTTAACTTTAAATATGAGCTTGAAGAGCAAACTATTGGGGTGTAGTTGCAGAGAATCATTGCTAATTGATTCTTGAGGGCCTCCTTCTAAAGAAATCACAAAGAAAAAAAAAGGATCTACTAAGCTGACTTGAAGATGGTCAGAGAAATGGCCAAATAATTGACACGCACCCAGATGGTGTCAATGCTGGCTAATGCAAATATTACAGTCTGGTTTCTGCCGTCCCTGTATTTCTGAATTTTACTTCAGCTTCTGCTTCTCTTGGTGACTCGTTGGTGGTCTACATGACAGTTATGCCCCTTGTATCCACACAATCCTGAAGTGTTACTGAATGAGTTGCGGTCCCCATCTGAGTTGCTGGATTTTGGAGAATTCTCAGATTGCATGGACTTTGGAAGCGGCAATGGTGCCCCTCTTCTTCATGTCGTCAATCCAACATTTGATTATGTGCCACCAAAGCTTGTTAGTCTCTTTGTTACTGACACGTAAGTTAAACTGGACTTTATAGAGCTTAAAAGAATCAAAAGTTCTATCCTTTCTGTTCTTATTCAATTTGTTTTATGTTTACTTTCATACTACAATTTCATTTCGAGTTTCCACATCAATTACTATAAGATGTAACTTTTCCACATTATGGAGCAATAGTGCCCAGTCAAAATGATGTGGGATGCAATGCAGAGTCCCATTTCAGATATTTCTGTTTCGCATTGATCTTGGCCAAAAGAGAATAAAGATTGCATGCATTTGGCTCTTCTGTTCTTCCACCACTTGAGGGTTCTGCTTTTCACACTTATCTATTTTTCTCTGCTCGTGCTGTCACTGATTGCTTTGTGTCTCACAGTGGAGGGCATAATCCATCATACATGTACCGGCTCATTGCAGATTATTACTCTGCTGATGATCTAGTAGTGCAACGAAGACCTACTTCAGGGAATTAAGTTTATAGTACTCAGATATACTGGTAAGTGCTTTTCCAGCCTATGGAGAGGTTGTGAGCTGGGAGGCAATTGTGAGTCATGGTGTGCGATAATTACTCCATGCTAATACGTTAATAAAGCATGTAGTTGAGTTTTGGAATATTAAAAAATCATTTAACAGCTAGCTTAGCTTCAAACTTGGTCCGTATAGAACTTGATCAAATGTTTCTGCAGCTCAACTTTCAGATTATTTGTGATGCCTGAACGTGGAGATATGAAGTTAAAGTCAGAGATTATCAAACTGCACCGAGCATCATTACTGCTGAAACCATCGTTATGACTTTGTGGAATCAACTTCTGCAAACTTGAGAGAAACGAAAGAAAGCCATTATTGTGATTATGAAGAATTATAGGGCTAGGAAGTAGAAATGTAGTGGCAGAAACAGCGAAATCAAGTGAAGGTAATTTTTGTCTCCCATTGTATCATGTATCAAAAATCATTCATGGTCTACTGTTGTATGACATTTGGCTTGAAACTTGATAGTGGGGATATATTTCTGTATTGAATTTACTTGGAAAATCACAGAAATTCCGAATAACATCGATATATAGCTGCAGGGACTGTGAGTGAATGAAGTAGACCTTTTTTCTTTTATGAAGAACAGGATGATGAGGAGAAAGCTAGGATGGTGTGACATTTCACCAACAAAAAGATTTAGATGAGTGCAACTTGTATTGAAGTTATCTTATTTGAACCCTACATTTTGTGATGATTTTGATTACCAAATGATCATGTTGTCGCCTTGACTAGATCATAAAATATTCTAAATAGTGTGACACATCTTACATTGAAGTTTATCCTTAACAGTAGTACATTGATTCTAAGTTGAATCTGTAGACCTTTATATATGTTTTTCTTTTGAGCTTTGTAAGCCAAGTTTGGACCCATCTGAAGTGGATGTGGATTTCGAGTTGTACTTGCATTGAAAGGTTTATAGAATTCCAAACAAGCCCTTTTTTTTTTTTTTGTCTGTCTAGGAAAAATGAAGTTGGCCACAATTAGAGGTATCTTGACTAATGTAGATTAATAATATTAATGCAATTAATTAAATGTATATAAATATATCATACATGAATTAAGTGCGCCAACTTGCATAAAACATGAATATTTTCATGTCATGTCATAAAATTCACTTAAATCCGTATCTTGTAAACGAATTGTGCTCAGAATTATCCGATCTACTATACCCCGACGAAATATGAATCTAATTATCTAAATTTTGATAACCACATATCTAATGAATTAAATGTATTTATACATGAACTAAGTGAGTCAACCTGCATAAAATCACAAACGTTTTCATGTCATAAGACTTAATTTGTATCTTGTTAACCAATTGTGTTCAAAATTATCTGATCTACTCTACCCTAATTGGAATATAAATCGCGTTTGTGATAACGACATTGATTAGAAGTCACTAACCTTATAATTAATTAGGTTTACACATTGAGATTTGCGTTTTATTGATGAGCAATCCACAATTAAGCTTAATCCCACTAATTTAATTCCAAAACCAAGATTGTGGGGTCACGTATGCATTATTATAAGATAACATTAAGCCTAATTTTGATCAATTGGGCAGTCAAATTGAATGTGGCATTGGGTTAGTAAGAAAGTCTTAAAGGCTCAAAGTATCATTTGATTATTTTGTGCTTTCTAACTTTTCAAAGTATTTTTGGAAAGCATTATTCTCATTTCTTTTTTGGGGTTTCTTTAGTTTCTTATTACGGAAAGATAATTTCTAACTTTTAATCTCAATCCAACCTTTTTGAAATAATTTTATTTCTTTCTAATCCATCTTTGCTTCTGTAATAATTTTAATCACGATTATTCATAAAAAATTTAATTTCAATAAAATAACTGTCACGTATTCGGTGATTGAACTTTAAATAAGATATCAAGATTGAATAGCCGGATATAATGATAGGAGAAATAATTTTTATCAACTTCGAGGGTACAAATATTATTCCATTTATAATCAAAATCCAACCTCATTTACTCAGAATTAATTAGCATTTCGCATGAGTTTTTTTTTCATTTAAATAAATTGTTGTATCTTTTTTGTTTTAATGATAATATTTATCTAAGCAAATCAATTGCTTACTTTCCCTACCAACTCCTTCATAAAATAATAATAATAATTATTATTATAAATGAGAGTAGTAATCCTCCCATTGAGATACCTTTGAAGACGTCAATTTCAAGCATTGAAAGCTATTGAGAGACGTGTATGTTCTAATCGCCATGTGCTTTGCTTTGCAACCTAAACTAAAGGTACCAAGGACTTTTCTTCCACCAGATTCACACATGAAAAACATTTGTATTTGTTTGGTACAGTTTTTGAAGTTTTCTTTTTTTTTTTGTTTTTATTTTGAGTCAATTTATAGCACATAATACTAATATGATATATAGTTTAGATTTTTTTAAAAAATATTATGCTTTAAGAAAATAGATTTGAACTTATTTTATGCTTCATTTTTAGCAAGAATTTAAGGTACCTTTGGTTGATATTTTTGCTGTTTGGTTTTTACAATTTTTTTTTTGTATTTTTTGAAGAATTGTTATGAATAAAAACAATGCTTTGATTTAAAATAGATAAGTAATTAAAGAAAAATACAACATCAATCCAAAAAAAAAACAAGAATCATGTGCTTTCTTATAAAATAAATTAAATATTTTGTAAATAATTTTTCTAAAACTTTATTAATTTTTGTATCCAAATGCGTATTTTCGATAATGACAAAAATGTCAACCAAACCGAGTTAAAATTGAAAATAATATATAAATGTTAAGTCAATAAAAATTTTAAATAAAGAAAAAATATTTTTAATTATGTTAAACAGTTAGTTAGTGCACTTAACAAACATGATTGAAGAGTAATAGGTGGCAATTAGAGACAAGCAAGGTCTAGACAACTCACCAAAGTAAGCTTGATTCTTGTTTTAATTGGGTTGTATACTTTATTTATTTAATACTTCTTGTATCCCATTTTTATTATTTTTTTATGTTTTAAAATTATTCACTTTGTGACATTAAAAAAAATGGAATATCAATTTTATAAAATATATTAAATATACTAAAATTAAAAACTTCTTTAAAATTTTAAACGAAAAGAGTATTTATAAGTAATATGACCATATAAATAATTTATTATACAAATTATTATAAGTTTTTATATCAAAATTGTACTATAATTTTACATGCATTATATTCGTATTGTATTTGAATTTATATCATTTTCGATATGGGTAAATTCATACGTATATACTCGAGCAAATGAAATTATTAAATCTATTTACTCTAAAGATATATATATATTTGTTTTTTTATTAAAATTTTTAATTTATAAGAAAAATTAAAAACTTTTTTCATGAAAACCAAAAGGGCCCTTAAATCGTTTGAACTAATAACATGTTTGAGCCAACTTTTTCAACTCTAAATAAATAAGCATGATGCACGTGTAAAAATTGGAGTCGAAAATGACACAAATGAGAGTAGTGTTGTTTTATTAAATAATTGTACAATACCAATTATTTCCAAATAATATGGCATGGAAGTAATAAACTATAAATCTATTTAAATTATTAGGTATTCATAGTTATTAATTAATAATAATTAAAATATTATTTTATTAATTTATTATTTATTTCATATAATATTAAATTACACAATAAAAGATAAATTTTTTCTTATCTTATAAAATTTGATATATATATAGTATGATGATTTTTATAATTACTTTTTAACTACTCTCATGCAAAACCCTAAGAACTATTTTCGTAAAATTAAAACAAATTGAATAAATTATAAAATTTTCTATGATAAATATATATTTATATTTATTTAGTGGAGACACGTAGTTATTCTTTTGAACAAAATGAATGAATGAAATTGGCATTTAACGAGAGCAACCCAATCTAAAGCACTTAGCTCATAGAATCTGATCTCATTCTTTTATTTTTTTATTTTATTTTTTATTTAATTATTTATTTTTAAGGGCGAAAAATGGGGGGCATTATTTACAGAATTACATCATCACGCGCAAAATCCTTGGTGGATGCGGGACCAAAATCTTCCCTCCATTCACGATTCTGTCTCCCAATCTCTTCAAAAATATCATCTCACTGTACTCAACCAAACTAATGCCATATAAGGTAATGTCAGTAATCTTATTTTAAATACTGGGGTATATATATAATTACTCATTTTTCGAAATTAAAATTATCTGTAAAATTTTAAATATTTAAGGAACAGTTTAAGTAAAAAAAAATCATAATTGGAGTTACTTGTTATTAATGATCATTAAAAGTTAAACTAGGTTAATGGTTGGATTAAGGTTTCGTTTGGCATTACAATTGTGATCAAAAAAACTTAGGGTTGAGAAAATGTGAAAATTTATGATTTAAGTTTTTCTTTTTGAATATTTGATGTTATTATGAAAAGATGTTATGAAAAGTAATATTGAAAAATAAAGAATAAGTTATTTTCAATGATATGTAAGTAATTTAGTATTAAGATAAATAAAAAATAAATTATTGTGAAATTTAAGTTTAAAAATTTATATAAAAATAACATTTTTAGATTTTCTTTAAAAAAAAATAAATTACTTCAAGATAGACAATTAATTAATTTATAATTTTGTCATATTTCAAAATAATAATAAGTATTCAATAATTTTTTCTATAAATCATAAGTTGTAAACTATAAAGATGATTTTTGTAATTTGATTTAAAAATTAATTTCAAAAAGAGTTTTAATCCAAATTGCGATGTATTCAACATTACTTGACTATTAAAAATTAGCCAAATATAAATGTCAAATGATACCTAAACCGATTAGGTCACTAAACTTAAAAGGAAATCAAGTTTTACATCGAATGAAATTTGTTAACGAATTTTATTAAGATTGATCAAAATTATGAAATTTTCACCAATTTTTGTTCAACTCTAGTAGAGATCAAATCAATCATTTCAGTCTTTATCTCTATTCAAAATTTTCTTAAACCGAAACTTAATAAATGTGAGCAATAAAATCTAAAATATAAAAAGAAAGTCCAATCTTCCAAATTGTTAGTTATGTTACATTAATACTTTAAACATAGTTTTACATAATTTATATATATATATAATTTTTTGAAAAGCTACATAATTTATATAAAAAACTTATATTAAATCAAACTTAACGTAATAATGATCCGATCATCGAGTACAATCTACATTTATAGTAATGTTACTTATATATTTTTAATATGTTTATATAAATATATTAAATAAAGGTTACTTAAAACAATCATCAAGATGACCTAATTCTTTTTGGAAGCAATGAATTATACTTGAGATGAATAAAGTTTAGTAATCATTCAAATGTGTGATTACTTTGATTGAAATACGACTTTGTGATTGTAGCAAAAGAATTACACTAATATGACATTTTCCGCCAAATAAAGAAAACCATCGTCATTTCATTTGAAAAAAAATCTCTTTCTCGCTCTGTTCATCTCCCAAATCACAACAAGCCAAACAAAACCTGAAGAGAAAAGGAAGTCTTTGAGAGAAAGAGACCACCAACAGAGCCTTTGCTCAACCCACAACCAAAAGCCAAACAGTTTTCTGAAAGGGAAAAATATATAATATTAAAAAATCCCAGAAAATTGAGCTCCATTTTGGTATATTCCACCCCAAAAATCCAATTCCATTAACAAACTCAAAACCATCAAACTTTCTTCA